CCCTACAGATCTCTCTACTCACTTTCAAGTTTTTCAAACACACAGAAGTCATTTTGCAGTTGAAAAAATTATTATAAAGAACTCCAAGTCCACCCACCAGGAGCTATTAACGAGGTGTAAAATTACTCTACCTGAACCTTGAGATGTACTTTTCTGAGCACCTGTGGAGGAAACTTGAGCCTTTGTTATAGTCTGCACAGGCTGAGCCACAATTGTCCCTCCTCCTCCACTCACGATGGCTTTGGCTACACCTTGAGTCACAACCTGCTTCGGGCCAACGGCCTTTGCTACTGAAGAGCTAGATTTTGCCACAAGTATCTGGCCACCACTTATAGCCACTGCTTGTTTCACTGTCGACTGCAAAGCAGAACCAACTGGAACACCAACAACCTGCAACAAATAAGTATTGGATGATGTCCTGCTGGCAAGAGCCATCAGGAGAATTCTAGTTGGTACACGACCTCCACCTCTAGACATTTCTGGAGACCTTACACATCTCTAATCACCTACAAAAGCTATTCATTCAGAAATAAAATTAAACTGGCAAGAGGCCAATCCCAAGGCAACAGATAAACTCTTAAACACAATTGGGATTTCACAAAAGATTAAATACATTCAAATTACAGGGCACTTGCATGGGTTTTTTTCTGATATATAAGCAATGGCTTCATTCCAGCTGAAGATAAAGCTTGCCTTGGCAAAGCACAGAGATCCAGAAATTTAGTTTCAACACATTCATGGGAACAGACTCCCTGGGAAAACTACAGTCTCAAAGCAGAAGCCACAAAATGCTTCAATTTTGTGTGTTGACAATAACTGCAGGGAAAAACAAGTTTGCATACCTGCTGAAGCAGGCAAATGAGGCAGTAAAAAGGACAACGAATCATAGAATGGTTTGGGTTGGGAGGGACCTTAAAGATCATCTAGCACCACCCCCCCTGCCATGGGCAGGTACATCCCCCACTAGGCCAGCTTGCTCAAAGCCCCATCCAGCCTGGCCTGGAACACTCCCAGAGAGGGGGCATCTACAGCCTCTCTGGGCAACCTGTTCCAGTGTCTCACCACCCTCACAGGGAAGAACTTCTTCCTCTCATCTCTTCTGAATCTTCCCTCTTTCAGTTTAAAGCCATTATGTCTTGTCCTATATACTACATGCCCTTGCAGAAAGTCCCTC